ACATCCAAAAATTTCAACCAATTTAAACTTTTCAAAAACAACCCATATCATTAATTCATTACAAAAAGGTTTTCAATTCATTTATTATCAGAGTATTTCCAGAACCACATCATAAATACATAAAACATGAGGAGCGGTACGATCACGCCTTCGCCTTGCCACGATCTCCTGAAGTACCTGAAACAATACACTGAAAACTGTAAGCCCGAAAGCTTAGTGAGTTACCCCCAAAATACCAACCACATATACCATACTCATAACATATCATATCATAAACAGAACAGCCATGCACTTCGGGTCTACTGCGTGACTAGTTCGCCACACCGGGTCTTCAGTCCTCCTGGTCCACCCTCCGAGTCTAGCCATATACATCGAGTCTGCAGTGTGGTTCGTCCTCCCGCTCCGAGCCTTCAAACCACCTGGTCCACTCTCTAAGTCTACAGTATGACTGGTCCGCCCGCACCGGGCCTTCAGTCGGCCTGGTCCACTCTCCAAGCCTCGGCACATTTGGTCCGCCCTCGTGGGGCCTACAGCCTATCCGAACCGCTCGCTGGGCCTTCGGGATATCCGGTCCTCCGTAGGTATGTTCGCCTACAGCACAAAGCAGGACCCACCTCAACCCAACCCCAGTCAATCAACTATGTGCACATAAACATATAATCATATAGCAATTCATCACTAATCAACCGATCTAGCAGATTACATACATAGCACACTCTAACCATGATACCCGACATAACCGGTCACTAACATAGCATTATCCTATATACCAGGATTCCGACCTTAACCAGGTATCTAACATATACCATCCTAACTACCAGGATGCACACATATAGCAAAGTAATAACATAACAACTACCCGGATTTCCATCTGATAAAGGGCCGACCTTGGTGCCTTAGAACCTATCGATATAGTGAGGATAACTCACCTCACAACTGCTGACTAAATAGATAAGATTACGCTGCTCCAACCTCCGATACGAACTCCACCACTGATCAATACCAAATGACTGAACTCAATAAATACCAATAATTACCAAAATACCCTTGGAAGTCAACTGGTCAAGTCTTGGTCAAAGTCAAAGTCCTCAGTCAAAGTCCACCTTTGTGTATGACCGTCGACTCACCGAGTCCCACAATTCTGAGTCCCTTCTCGCTCAACTCACCGAGTCATCCCTCAACTCACTGATTCACCATTCAACCAGAAAAGGTTAGGACTCCACGATCAGACTCGCCGAGTCCAAGAACATACTTGTCGAGTCCAAGGCAATCTTCAATAGACTTGCCAAGTTGTTCTTCCAACTCGTCGAGTCCATGCCCACCTTCATCCAACTCGTCGAGTTCACCCATGGAATTCGCCGAGCCTCTTCAGTTCTCATTCCATACAGAGGCTTTTCAAGCCATGTAGGGACTCAAATCTATAGATCCACTCTTCTACAGCCTAACCCTCACATAAAGTAGCAAACTTTACGTGAAACCAAGGAGATATAAGCTCAAAACAATCTAGGGCTAAGGCTAAGGACAAAAGGGCTTCACCAATAATTCTTAAACAGGAACTTTATGACATATAGGACCATCACAAGCTTAGATCTGAAGTAGCATCCTCATATCGATTCTTCTAACTTGAATTAGATCTCATATCAATCACCATACATGAATCCATGAAGAAATAGCTTAAGGAAATTGTTCCTTACCCCTAAAATGAGCCCAACCAACTGTAGATTTCTGATCTCCACAAACTTCCTGATACAAGCCTTCAAACCTTCAAACTTCAATACCACAGATCCTCTTCCAAGCTCTAATTCACTCACAATTGGGCTTCCTCACGAATTAGGGTTTTCTAGATCTCAAATGGGCAGCAAAGAGGTTGAGGGGAAAACATAAGGTTCCTTATATAGGGTACAAACCCTGAAAATACGGTTTCTCATTCCAGCACCGACTTTCCGAGTCCAGCCGCTGTGACATCCCCAAAATCACGGCCAGAAAAGACCGATTTTGTTTATGCTTTATGAAAATCAGAGTACTTCATTTTATAAAAAGGTTGCGGAATTTGTTCCAAGAAAAACACGATAAATACGTTATTAAAACATTTTCGAAGAAACGTATTTTTATTCATCTTAAAACGTTTGGGATGTCATCGTTAATACAGAAACATAAGCATAAACAGAACTTACAATTATTTACACTAGTGATCTACATCTCTTTAAATCTCTCAGTGTAATGTCACTTCATTTCGTCACCTGTGATATACATAAACTGAGTGGGTCAGGTTGGAAAACCTGGTGAGTACATAGGGTTTTCAACCCATAATAATATAATTATTATGTTTAATCAAACAATCAACCCAATTACCCATCCCCATTATCTTCTTTACTCTTTAAGGATTTAACCGAAGAGTCATCTATCCTTCATTCGTTTATTCCGAAGTCCCTTACTTCCAGGGCTCTAGGACTGGCACTAAATCCATAGCTGCCAATATTCGTTCGTAAAGCACTAATTCCATAGCTGCTATATCTTACTCATCGGGTACTAAATTCATAGCTACCCGTGCTCAACAGGTACTAAGTCCATAGCTACCAATTCCTACAGGTACTAAATCCATAGCTACCAGTGTCTAACTAATAGGTACTAAGTCCATAGCTACCAATTCCCAACAGGTACTAAATCCATAGCTACCAACGTCTAATAGGTACTAAGTCCATAGCTACCGGTGTTTGTCCCATAGGCACTAAGTCTATAGCTGCCAATGTATACTCACGTCATCCTCTATCTCTCATCATTTATCTACCCATCATCATACCCAACATATTCGTATATATAAAATACGTATACAGTTTAAATCCTTTAAAACATGTATAAAACGTTCATCCAGCATAGACAGCAAGTATTCAGATAACATGCACACATAGCACGTAGTTTATATAAAATACTTCATATCTATGTGTAAGATGAAAGGGACTATGCACTCACCTGAAAGGTGGTGACTCAGCACTCGGACAGCACTTCGATACTCTCAAAACAACCTTTCCTTCGATAAAACCTAGTATCAACACCACTAGGGTTTAGTCTACCGATATCCACGACAAATTAATAGTCTGACTATTATTATTATTATATAAGCGTTAAATAACACTCAATATAACTCATAATAATAGCCCAAATAATTTTTTTAAGGTCCTAATAATGTTACTATAATTAATTAGAAGCTATATTAAAACTAGCGTAGACGTAGCTCACTTACAGCGGGTTTTTCGCAAAACCGGGCTTCGCTGGAGCAGCGTTTCCCGAGCTGAAAGGCTCTTTTCTCAGAGTCGTCGGGCACTCCGGGGCTTCCGCCTCGTGCTAGGGAGTTACCCTAGGCTTTAGGGGGTTAGGGAGGCTTAGAGAGAGAGTTTAGAGAGAGAAAGAAGGGTTTGAAGGTGTGAGAATGAATGGAACCCGACACCTCTATTTATAGGGGTGCTGACTGGTCTACTCACCGAGTAGGGGGGACCTACTCGCCGAGTTGGTCCATGTGGTGGCCTTCTGGTGGTGCCACGTGTCCAATTCTGGTGGTGCCACGTCACCCCGTATCGCGTATCAGCCTTCAAACTTAGAAAAAACATAACTTTCGCATACGAGCTCCGTTTTCGACGTTCTTTATATCCAAGTGTAGGTAAAATCAAGATCTACAACTTTCGTTTAGACTCCATCGGCTAATTCTCGACCGATCTCAAATTTAACAGTAGGAGGCGTTTAGACTGTTAAATGACCGCGAAGAATTCATAACTCCTTCATACGGACTCCGTTTTCATCTGTCTTTTTACCGTTGAGTTCCTATTAATGAGATCTTCAACTCTCATTTAGGTCGCGTAAGCCAAAACACGATAAATACGTTATTAAAACATTTTCGAAGAAACGTATTTTTATTCATCTTAAAACGTTTGGGATGTCATCGTTAATACAGAAACATAAGCATAAACAGAACTTACAATTATTTACACTAGTGATCTACATCTCTTTAAATCTCTCAGTGTAATGTCACTTCATTTCGTCACCTGTGATATACATAAACTGAGTGGGTCAGGTTGGAAAACCTGGTGAGTACATAGGGTTTTCAACCCATAATAATATAATTATTATGTTTAATCAAACAATCAACCCAATTACCCATCCCCATTATCTTCTTTACTCTTTAAGGATTTAACCTAAGAGTCATCTATCCTTCATTCGTTTATTCCGAAGTCCCTTACTTCCAGGGTTCTAGGACTGACACTAAATCCATAGCTGCCAATATTCGTTCGTAAAGCACTAATTCCATAACTGCTATATCTTACTCATCGGGTACTAAATTCATAGCTACCCGTGCTCAACAGGTACTAAGTCCATAGCTACCAATTCCTACAGGTACTAAATCCATAGCTACCCGTGTCTAACTAATAGGTACTAAGTCCATAGCTACCAATTCCCAACAGGTACTAAATCCATAACTACCAACGTCTAATAGGTACTAAGTCCATAGCTACCGGTGTTTGTCCCATAGGCACTAAGTCTATAGCTACCAATGTATACTCACGTCATCCTCTATCTCTCATCATTTATCTACCCATCATCATACCCAACATATTCGTATATATAAAATACGT